CATCCAATTTGTAGTAATTTTTTACAGCACCTGCAGGAAACTAATTGTGTTGATTAACTTTCTATTATTCTCAAAATTTACTTGAGAAAAACAGCCTAAAAGAGGAAATATTTTCTTTGGCTTGTGATTTCAGCGGTTTCAGTCCATGATCAGTTGGCTCCATTGTTTCTAGGCCTATGGTGAGGCAGAACATCATGATAGAAGAATGTGGTAAAAAAAAAAAAAAAGGTGTTCACCTCCTGGTGGTGGGGAAGCAGAGAGACAGAAAGGGTCCTGGGACAAAATATGACACATCCCTAGTGACCTACCTCTTCCAACTAAGTCACACCTCATAAAGTTTCCACCACCTTCCCAATGGTGCCACCAGCTGGGGACCAAGCCCAAGTATGAAACTTTTGGGACATTTCAGATCCAAATTGTAACACTAATACTCCAATTCTTTGTTTTTATTTCAGTTTTCATACTTTTCAACTCCAAAATTTCCATGTATTTCTTTTCATGAATTTCTATATATTTTCTCTATTTGATGTGACATTGTCATGATATCTTTTCTTCTACTTTCTTCATAATTTCATTTAGTTATTTGAACTTATTTATAATGAGTACTTTGAAGTCTTTGTTAAATCTAATATCTGGTCATTGTCAAAGGTTGTTTCTGTTGTCTGCTTTCTAGTGTGTGGATTATCTTTCCAAATTATTCATGTCTCATGCTTTTTTATTGGAAACTGAATGTTTTAGATAATATGTTATAGCAACTCTGAGTACTCGTATCCCCACCCCCAGCCCAAGGCTTATTTATGTTATTTACTTATTTACTTGTTTAGTCACTGTAAAACTTTAATGAAGCCTATGCCCCTACACATACACCCCAGCACTATGAAGCCTGGTATGTTGTTCCTTAGGAAGTACAGCCCTAGGATGCCCACACATATCCTGGGTTTTTGGCAGAGCTCTCTTTTGACTGTCTTTTTTCCTGACCACACCCACTGGTTAAAACTCACTAATTGCTGAATGATTGCTCTATTGTTTTCAAAAATTGTCCAAGGCATAAATTGCTTCACAAACTGATCCAATCAAATTCTGGCTCCTTTGAAGTGACAGTTTCCTAGATTAGTGTTTAAGATTTATTCTGATCCTAATAGAGTTCATCTCAGCTGCCTTGTTCCCTATTTCTTTCCAGAAAATTAGCGAGCCAACAATTTAGCCTACATTTCCAGCGAATCTGCCATTGGTTTAATGGCCTTTGACCATAAATCTCTACTTTTTAAATAACTTTATTTTTATTTATTTGTGTTCTTTTTATGTGGTGCTGAGGATTGAACCCAGTGCCTCAAGCTGCTAGGCAAGCTCTCTCTGCTGAGCCACAACCCCAGCTCCAAATCTCCACTCTTTTTAAGAACACACTTAGGCTTGGATTTCTCCACACTGTGAGAAGTGGAGTCTGCCACTTTTTTTGTGTGTGTATGTGTGGTGTGTGAGGATACAACCCTAGGGCCTCACATATGCTAGGCAAACGCTGTACCACTGAGCCCTACCCCCAGCTGATGAAGTCAATTCCTTTGGAAAGAAGCTCAGGATCTTTGGCCTGCTTTTCCCCCAGGGCAAAATCTCTAAGCAACAGCTCCATGCTAAGGTTAAGGATAATAGCAGGCATCTGAGCAGCATTCCCACTTTAGGAACTAAGCACTGGAAGGAAAGACAGCAGCTCCAGTTCTCCTTGGCTTGCCTCTCTCTCAGCGTGGTACTTTTATTCCAGGGGCCAGGTCAGGGTGGCCCTAGTATTTTAGATGGTACCACACCATAGTTAGAGCCTCCATCCTACGATTTAGGGATGGGTGGGAGAAGGGACCTGTCTCCTCTCAGTCTTATTTTCCTGGAAATGAACCTGAATGACCTGCAGCAGAGGGTAGGATAAGAAATGCTGATGCCCTGCTCCTCCAGCTGGAGCTGAAGATGTGGGATGCCTACATACTGGTATGAAGTAGTTTCTGTCTGCTTGAACTTGGATGGAAAAGGGAGGGAGTAAACCTTGTCTCAGATACCCCAGTCTCTCTTTTTTATGCTGAATTTAATATATTTCTTTTTATGTATCATTGTTATTAATTTTTTATTGACATACAACAGTGGAATGCATTACAATTCTTATTACACATATAGAGCACATTTTTTCATATCTCTGGTTGTATACAAAGTATATTCACACCAATTCGTGTCTTCATACATGTACTTTGGATAATAATGTCCATCACATTCCACCATCCTTGCTAATCTCCTGCCCCCTCCCTTCCCCTCCCACTTTTAGCTGATTTCTTGACCAAGTGATTCTTCATTTGCTTAATGCCCTTAGACCATTTCCAAGGACTTACAAAAAAATTTAAAGTAGACTTTATTTTATAGAATAATTATTGGTTCCTAGAAAAAATGTGCAAAATGTAGTTCTTATATGCCTACTGCCCTCCCCTGACATCCATACCTCCTCAGCTATTGACATTACACACCACAGAAGTATATTTAGTACAATTGATGAACCTACCTTGATACAAGTCCGTAGTTTACATTAGGATTCGCTTGGTGTTGTTTGTTCTGTGGGTTTTAACTAATGTATGGCATGTATCTACTATCATATTATAGTATTATATGGAACAATTTCATTGTCCTAAAAGTCCTCTGTGTTCCACCTACACATCCCCCTCCAATACCTGGCAACCACTAACCTTTTTTACTGTCTCCATAGGATATAATTAAAATTGTATGATTTGTAGCTTTTCCAGATTGACTTCTTTCAAGTTTCTTCCATGGATGGATTGGTAGCGCTCTCTCTCTCTCTCTCTCTCTCTCTCTCTCTCTCTCTCTCTCTCACACACACACACACACACACACATCTCTTTCCCACTCCTCTCTCCCCACTCCCCCTCCCCTCCCCTTCTTCTCCTCTCCTCTTCTTCCCCTTCTTCTCCTCTCCCTCTCTCCCTCCTTCCCTCCCTCTCTCCCGTACTGGGGATTAAACACAAGGCCACACTGATGCTACCCAAGTACTCTATCACTGAGCTTCACTCCCAGCCCTTTTTATTTGGAGACAGGACCTTGATAAGTTTCTGAGGCTGGCCTCAACTTGAAATCTTTCTGCCTCAGCTTTCTGAGTAGTTGGGATTACAAACATGTATCACCATACCTAGCAGTAGTTCATCTCTTTTCGTACTGACTAATATTCCAATGTCAAGATGTACCACAGCTTATCCATTTGCCTACTAATGTATGTCTTGGTTGCTCCCAAGTTTGGGAGGTTTTGAATAAAGCTTCTATAAAAATTCATGTGAAGATTTTGTGCAGACATAAATTTACTATAAACATCCTTGTGAAGGTTTTGTGTAGACATAAATTTTCAACTCATTTGGGTAAATGCCAAAGAGCATGACTGCCAGATCATATGGTAAGAGTAGTATGTTTAGTTTTTCAAGAAAGTGCCAAACTATATTCCAACCTGGTTATGCCATTTTGCATTCCACCAGCAATGAATTAGAGTTCCTGTTGCTCCACATCCTCACCAGCAGTAGGTGTTGTCAGGTTCTGGATTTGGGCTATTGTAAGGAGTGAATCTCATTATTGTTTTAATTTGCAATTCCCTAATGACTAACATCTTTTTCATATTCTTACTTGCCATTTTTGGTGAGGCAAAGTTCAGATCTTCTATCCATTTTAAATCAGGTTCTTCATTTTCTTATTCTTGAATTTTAAGAATAAGATTTTAGATTAATATATTTTAGTCAGATATGTCTTTTGCAAATATTTTCTTTCCATCTGTGACTTGTATTTTCATCCTCTTAACAGTGCCCTTTGCAAAGCAGAACTTTACTCTTATTGAGTCCATCTTATCAATTATTTCTTTCACAGATTGTGTCTTTGGTATTATATCTAAAAAGTCATTGCAATGTGGATTCATAAACTGTAACAAATGCACTACTTTGGAGCAGAATGTTGATAGTAGAGGAGATTACTTATGTGTGGGGACTGGGTGTATATTGGAACTCTTTGTACTTTCCACTCAATTTTGCTGTGAAACTAAAACCTCTCTGAAAAATAAAATTTATTAATTAAAGACAACTTTAAAGTCCTAGATGAAGATAAGTTATCAGAGTTATAAGTACACTCATAATCAGAGTAAAAAATAATTACCGTATACAAGGTCATCTAGATTTTGAATTACATTATCTTCTAGGTGTTTTATAATTTTTGGTCTATTAACCATTTCGAGCTAATTTTATGAAGGGTGTAAGGTCTGTGTTTACATTCTTTTTTCACATGTAGATATCCAGTTGTTCAGCACCATTTGTTGAAAAGACTCTCCGACCCATTGCATTGATTTTGCTTCTTCATTGACAAAGAGTAGTTGGACTATATTCATGTCAATTGATTTCTGGGAGCTCTATTCTGTTCCACTAATCAATCTATCTCACCAATACCATACTGTTTTGATTACTGAACCTTTATAGGAAGTCTTGAAGTAGGGTGGTGTCAGCCTTCCAACTTTTTTCTTCTTCTTCTTCAGTATTGAGTTGGATTTTCTGGTTTTGTTTTTGATTTGGGTTTGGGGTTTGTTTTTTTTTTGCCTCTACATATAAAACTTTAGAAACAGTTTGATATTCACAAAATAAATTACTGCTAATTTGATTGGAATTGCATTGACACTGTTGGATCCAGTTGGAAAGAACTGACATCTTGACAATATTGAATCTCCCTATTCTTGAACATAGAATGTCTCCCCATTTATTTATTTGAGTTTTTACATCATAGTTTTATAATTTTCCTCATACAGATCTTGTACATATTTATACCTCAGTGTACATATTTATACCTCTTGTACATATTTATACCTCAGTGTTTCACATTTTGGAGTGCTAATGTAAATAGTAATGTGTTTTTCAAAAATAATTTATATATTTATGATTGACATACAAAAGCTGTACTTATTTAATATTAATAGTTTGAGATAAATATACACCCCAAATAATGAATGATTCACAAATTCGCATGTGGGCACAGGGACCACACTAATTTTCTCTGTATTGTTTCAATTTTAGTATATGTACTGCTGAAACAAAACACCATTGTAATATGTTTTTAATTTCAAATTTCATGTGTTTATTGCAGTTGGCTTTATAAATTAACTCTGTGTCCTGTACCCTTGCTATAATTGCTTATTTATTATCAGAGTTTGTTGATTTTTTTCAGATTTTCTACACAGACAATCATGCCATCTGTAAACAGTTTTATTTCTTCTTTTTCTGTTTAACTTTCATTTCTCATTTCATTCTCCAGGCTTTCCTATAAGATGTTGAAAGGCAGACATGATCTTAGTGAAAATTAAGTTTCTAACCATAATGTATGATGTTAGTTGTAGGTGTCCTAATGAACATTCCTAGTCTATTCCTTAATAAATTATGCCTAATTTATTGAGGGTTTTTATCATGAATGGGCATTGGCATTTTCATCAAAACCTTTTTGTGCATCTATTGATATGTTCGTGATTTTTCTTCATTAACTTGTTGAGTGATGTATTATATTTATTGATTTTTCAAATGTTAAAATAGCCTGTGACACTTGGGATAAATCCTACTTGGTTGTGATGTATAATTCTTTTCATGCATTGTTGTGTTTGACACATGAATATTTTGCTAAGGATTTTCTCATCAATGTTCATAAGAGATATTGGTCTAAAGTTTTCTTGTAATGTCTCTGTCTGGTTTTAGTTTTAGGATAATGCTGACCTTATAGAATAAGTTAGGAAGCGTTCTTCTGTCTTCTGGAAAAGACTGCAGAGAATTGGTATAATAATTTTTCCCTTAAGTATTGGGTAGAATTCATCCATGAGCATATCTGATCTTGGTGATTTCTGTTTTGAAAATTAATTAATTAGTTAATTTCTTTAATGAATATTGTTCTGTTCAGATTGTCTATCTTTTGGTATAAGTTTTGGCAAACTGTCCTTTTTTTCTTGTCAGTACTGGGGATTGAACCCAGAATTGCTTTACCTCTGAGCTAAATCTCCAGCCTTTCTTATTTTTTTTATTTTGAGACAGGGTCTCACTAATTTGTTGAGGCTGCCCTTGATCTTAAAATCCTCTTGCTTCAAACTCTCCAGTCATTTGGAATTACAAGAGTGCACTACCGCACGTGACTTGGCAAACTGTCTTTCAAGGAATTGACCCATTTCATTTAGACTCTCAAATTTTAGGGCATAAATTTGTTCATTGTTTTCCTTTATTGTTCTTTTGATATCTCAGGATCCATAGTAATGTCCTCTTTTTCATTAGTGATTTACGTCCTCTTTTTTTTTAAGTTAGCATGACTAGATGCTTATTGATATTACTAATTGTTTCAAAGAACCAGCTTTTGGTTTTATTAATTTCCTCTAATGATTTCCTGTTTTTAATTTTATTGTTTTCTGCTCTGATTTTTATTATTTCTTTTCTTCTGCTTACTTTGGATTTTGTTTTCTTCTTCTAATTCCCAAAGGTGAGAACTTAGATTATTGATTTTAGGTCTTTCTTCTTTTCTCATATATGCATTCAGTGCTATAAATCTCCTTCTAAGATAGGCATGGTAGTGCAGGCCCATAATCCCAGCAACTTGGGAGGCTAAGGCAGGAGAATGGCAAGTCTCAGGCTATCCTGCACAACTTAGCAGGAACATGTCTCAAAAATTTTAAAATGGACTAGGGATGTAGGTCAGTGGCAAAGTGTCCCTGGATTCAGTACCTAAAAATAAAAATTTTCTCCTAAGCCTGTTTTTGTTGCATCCCACAAATTTTGTCAAGTTGTACTTTAATTCCCATTTAGTTAAAAAAATATATATATATATATGTTTTTTTTTTTTTAAATTTTCTTTGAGATTTCTTCTTTGACTTGTATATAGGTATATTGTTTAATCTCCAAGTTTTGGGGATTTTCTAGATATCTTTCTGTTATCAATGTCTTATTTAATTTCATTGTGGTCTGAGAACAGACACTGTATTATTTCTTTTCCTTTACACTGGTTAAAGTCTGTTTTATGGCCCATAAAACAGTTACTATTGACTAATGGTTGTCAAACTTGTCCTTTACTGAACTCCCAACAATTTCTCTATTACAATTAAGATTTTCCTACTGCTGAACTGGTTTCTTTTTCTTTCTTTCTTTCTTTCTTTCTTTCTTTTTTTTTTTTTTTTGAGACAGGATCTCACTATGTTTCCCAGGCTGACCTCAAATTCCTGGGCTAAAGTGATCTTCCTATCTCAGCCTCTCAAGTAGCTGGAAATATATGTGTGTACCACCATTGCCCTACTCATAAGTTTCTGCTCCCATTAAGCTGTGATTCTCTGTATCTTCCTGTCTTCAATTTTGAGGGCAGCAGTTTGCCTTGTGACCTCACTTCTCTGATGAATCAAAAAAATTGTTGATTTTTAAGCATATTTGGCTTTTTAGCTTTTGTTAGGATGGAGTGATGACTTCTAATCACCTTACATGCTGAACCAGAAACTGGAACAAAGATTGTTTTCTTTTAAATGATTTTCATCAGTTTTTCAGAGGATTTATCTCCCAGAGTTCCTCAATGCTGCTTCACTTCATTTTATTGCTATATGATATTTCATTGTATAGTTATACCACATTTTATTTGTATGTTTTACTGGGTCATACATATCTGGGCTATTTATACTTTTTGGTTATTATGAATAATGCTACTACAAATATTTATGTGACATAAGCTATTTTTTTCTTTCTTCTTTCCTCCTTCATTCCTTCCTGCCTCCCTCCCTTCTTTCTTTCCTTCCTTCCTTCCTTCTTTCCATGCTGGGGAGTGAACCCAGGGCCTCACACATGGTAAGTGGACACTATCACTGACCTACACCCCCAGCTCTTTTTGAAACATTTTTTTTTGTAGTGCCAAGCATCATGCATGCTAGGAAAGCATTCTACCAATAAGCCACATACCCAGCCCCTGCCTTTTCATGATAGTATCCCTTGAAGCACAAAAAAAAATTAAATTTTAATGAAATTTAACTTCTCAGTCTGTTCTTTTTCTTTTTTGCTCATGGTTTAGTCTCACATGTAGGAAATCGTTGCCTACCATAATATCATGAAGGTTTATTTCTGACTTTTATTCTAAGAATTTTATAATTCTAGCCTTTACATTTAGCCTATAATCTTTGAGTTAATTTTTCTGTATGGTGTCAGGAATGGGTCCTATTTCATTGTTTTGCATGTGTCTAGCCAATTATCCAGAATCATTGGTTGAAAAGACTTCTTTTACCATTTAACTATCTTGACATATTAGTTAAAAATCAAATTACCAGGGGCTGGGGTTATAGCTCAGTAGTAGAGTACTTGCTTTGCACTTGTGAGGTACTGGGTTTGATCCTCAGCACCACATAATAAATAAATAAATAAATAAATAAATAAATAAATAAATAAATAAAATGTGTCCATCTTTTAAAAAATCAAATTACCTTATAGGGTGTATTTACAATCAATCTGTTTTATTGGATTGACCTACATATATAATTTTGTGTTAATACTGTACTATCATGATAAAGATATATTTTAATAAGTTTTGATGTTGAAAAATATGAGTCCTCTGACTTTCCTATTCTTTTTTTAACATTTTTTATTTTTATCTTTCCACAATTTTACTGGTACATTATAGTTGTACATGTTTATGGGATTTGTTGTTATATATTCGTAGATGCAGAAAATATAACAATATAATTTGGTCAATGTCACTACCCACTCTGGGTCCCTTTTCATTCTTATATGGATTTTAAGATCAGCATGTCAATTTCTGCAAAACAGATAGCTGGGATATTCATAGGGATTGTACTGAATCTGTAGATCAATTTGGGGAATATTTTTTGTGTATGTGTACCAAGGATTGAGCTCAGAGGCACTCGACCACTGAGCCACATCCCCTATTTTGTATTTTATTTAGAGACAGGGTCTCACTGAATTGTTTGGTGCCTCACTGTTGCTGAGGCTGGCTTTGAACTCGCAATCCTCCTGCCTTAGCCTCTGGAGCCATTGGGATTACAGGTGTGCGCCACCGCACCTGGCAATTTGGGGAATATTGACATCCTAACAATATTAACTTTTCTGATACTTGAACATAGAATGCCTTCCAATATTTATGTCTTCTGTAATTTCTTTCAACAGGAATTATAATTTTCAGAGTGATCTTTTTTACTTTAAAAAGTAAAGAATGTATCACTATTTTATTCTTTTTGATGCTGTTATAAATTGAATTGTCTTTAAATTTTATTTTCAGATTGTTCATGCTAGTGTATAGAAATATAATAAATTTCTCAGTATTGATCTTGTATCCTGCCAACTTGTTTAATTAGTTCTAGACTTTTAGTGGTTTCCTTGGGATTTCTATATACAAGATCATGTCACCTGCAAGCAGACGTCTTTTGTTTATTTATTTATTTTTCTTTTTTACTTAATTGCCCTGGCTAGAACCTCCCCTCCAATGTTGAACAGAAGTGGCAGACAGCCGTGAATTAGGAAAATGGCTTTTAGTTTCTCACCATTAAGATGACTGAGTTTTTCTTAGATGTCCTTTGTCCAGTTAAGGAAATTTTCTTCTATTCCTAGTGTGCTGAGTGTTTTTATAATAAAAGCATGTTGGATTTTTTCAGATACTTCTTCCACATCGACTGAAATGATCATATGGGGTCTGAGGTAGAACACTTGCCTGGCATGCATAAGGACCTGAGTTCTATCACCAGCACAATAAAGAAAGAAGGGTGAGAGGAGAGAAAGAGAGAAAGAAAGAGAAGAAGGACTAAGGACTAAGTTCTCTAATTTGTTGCCATGCAGTTATTCATAGTACTGTATTTACTTCTTTTCCTTTTTTTCCCCTGTGAAATCAGTAGTAATGAGCCTTCCCTACTTTTCTTTTGGTCTGGTTAAAGATTTGTCAAATATGTTGTTTTTTTTTTCAAATAACCAACTTTTAATTTTGTTAAATTTTTTTCTATTTTATTTATTTCCTATTTTATTATTTCCTTCCATCATCTTGCCTATGCATTTAGTTTGCTCTTCTTTCTCTAGTTTCTTAGGCCAGTTTTCATT